CTATAGTTCTCAACTAAAATATCAAAAATCTTGTCAGGAGTGTCTCTACTGGTACTCGAATGAAAGCAGACCTCAGATTTAGCACTGCCATCAAGATGGTCCATCACAAACATCACTTGTGCTGCTCCTGACATAGGACGAATCTCCAGGCATCTACGTACTTCTTCAACCCACTGGTCAACAGTTAACAAGTCCACTGACAATTTACCAGTAAACCTTGAGCATTTACGCTCCCAAGGTGCATAAACGTAACAGACATTTGTAGCGTCATTTATTGGGTTCATATTTGATGGCACAGTAGATGGACCCGGCACTGGACCAGTAACAGGAGAACGTTCCTGTAATTGGTCTCTCAACTGTTCATTTGCTGCTTTTAGCTGCTGCAGCTGCACCAAGAGGGCCTGTACATCGTCCATAAGGTCGACGAAGGAGGTTTATTATCCCCGCGGGCAGTCCAACCATTGGCTTCCCCTCCGTAGAAGATGTCACTGTTTTTCCTCCTCTCCTCTAACACTCTTACTAAAATAAACAGGGCCACATTAAAATAAAAACAAAACACCGTAACTGATATGACCTGGATCCTGTCGACAACGCCAAATAATGTAGCGAGTAAAAGCCACCGAGTAACCGCTAAGGGCCTCTCACAGGAACGAGCCCAGAATAAACGGGACAAGAGGGTCAAATATCAGTCAGATACGTTAAAATTTATTATTTTAAAAGAAAACACAAAGGGTTTGCAAAAGGCCTAAAACATCAAAATGTTAAAGGTCACTAACGACCACAATATAGTCTTATTGGTGCAACCTGCCAGCAATGCAACTATCACCTGAGGGCTTGCTCTCCCTCGGCGGTCCCAGATGCTTGTTGCTTTAACAGAAACAAATCCACCCCAAATAAATACGAGCCCAACAGAACACTTATCGCACTAAGTGTTTTAGTTCAGGCAATAATTGGTGGCACTAAAATCACTCTTCATAAAACGTATTCATCCACACGGAGCACACAGACAGCTCACCCAAGCAGAGAAAAACATCCTTGCAAAAGGGTTGAACTTTGTTGTGACGCCGAGAAAAATCCCACTAGTGGAACTGATCACAGCAACTGAAACAACAGCAGACATGAAGCGGAGTAACTGCAAATGAAAGTTTCGGCTTGTCTCAGCAGCGCATCCAAAATAAGCATGGAGGAGAGGAAGGCATTCGCATCGCTTAGTAACGACAACAACACTATCATCCTTCTGCCAAACAAGGGTAGGTGCACAGCTTTGCTAAACAAGAAAGACTATTGTGTTGGAGGTGTGGTCTGAGGAGGGGTGGTGCAGTGGGCTCGAGGGACAGTGCCAGGGA